CAGCACCTTCTGGTTTTAGACTTTTACAAAGATTACATTGATCCCTCCAAGCAAAATTTGTATTACCACATTCTGGATTGGGACATCTATTTATTTACATAAAACAGTTTTTCATAAAATATTTCATTTTTAATATAAATATAATATAGTAAGTATAAATGTAAGATTATTATATAGATAAAATCAAAATTGTACCTCCAATCTCCTCCTCGACCACCTCCATCGCGACGATCGTCACCACCACCACGATGATGATCATCTCTGTCACCACCACCTCCACGGCTTCCAAAACCACCACTTCCACGACCTCGGCCACCACCACCACGACTTCCACCACTTCGATTACCTTGCCAATTGCTTTTATGTTGGGCAATTTGTACTCTTATTTTCTTGCCTTTAAATTCTTTCCCATCAAACCAATCTATTGCAGAACGTGCAGCATTTTGATCATCATAAGTTACAGTTGCTTCGCCCTTTGATTTACCAGTGTTTTTATCTTTATACATCCACACTTTAGGTTTTCCTGTTCGCTTATCATGCTATATATATATTCAAAAACATACAATGTTTAAATAATAACTTTTATTTATATATCTTTTATAATATATAAACAATAAAATAACTTACTTTGATTATACCTATAGCTCCAAAATGTTGACAAATTTCTTCTTCTGAAATTGAAGGATCCATACCAGATACAAAAATAGTATCTTCTTGTGTAACCATTCCATCGTTGCCACCACCACGGTCACCATAGCCCCCTGTAATAGGATAGGAATTAATATTTTGTTTAACATGGTACTCCTTGAGGTAAGGAATAATACTTGCAAATCTACTGTCCCTAAACCTACTCAAATCTAAACTAACAAGTGGAAAACTTTTGTATCGGGTTAAAAACAACTAATAACACAGTACACCTTGGAGGAATAAAATTTTGCAAACCATTTGGAATTTTAATATATTGCGGTTCTTTGAGTTATAAGAAAATCCCATATGAACACCTTTCCCAATATATCCGCAATTCATATTCAAGATAATTTTAAAATAGATAGAGATAGACATAAGCATTATTGTTTGAAGCAATTAAATACTATGTTTCTCTTTCTTCTTGAAGTATACCAATATATTTAAAAGTTATTACTTATTCTAATAAAAATGTAATAACTTTTATTTTCTTTAATAACCATTATCCACAAATAATGCCTTTTTAATGAAAAAAAATATTTTTTTATACCAGAAATTTTGTAATTATGTATGTTTAAAAACATACACTTATTTTAATACTAGTTTTAGTTTTCTGAATATATTCATTAATTTTATCTTGCCTATAAATGATAAACCTTTCTTGATATTTGAGCTTTCTTAATTGACTAATTTTTTTTAATTATCACATCTATTGTACATATATTCAAAATACCTTGCATAAAATTATAATTCAAAGATATCTCTTTGACCCGCATAGTAACAAAAATATTAGTATTCATTGGCCTAACATTCTTAGTAGTATATAACAATATGAAGAGAACACAAGGTTGCAGCTTAACATACAAAAGGGCTGCAACATTATTTTTATTCTTACCATTTCTCTATATTGTACATTTGGGAAAGCCTTGACTGATTAGGGATAGGTAAATACTTAATTCACCAGCTGCCTTTTATATATACTTAAAATTATATCCTGTGATATATTTTAAAATATTAATACAATGAAGTATAAGCAGCACAAATGCTGATTAAAAATAAAAAATATTTTACATTTTTTAAAGCTTTTTTTTGAAACAATTTGTTTTATATGTCTTTATATGTAAAAAAATAAAATTTAATTTTTTTAATTTAAAATATATCTTTATTCCAAATAAAATTTTTTATTTAATGTAATATAATTTATATAACTTTCTGATAAAAAATTTAATACTATTAAAAATATAAAAAATTCACTCTTATTTATTGAAAAAAAGCAAGTGGTGATTAAAACAGCCTTTATGATGCTACAATAATATCATCATGTATTTACACCTTTTTTTAGAATTATTATTAAATTCTGGCAAAATATTAGTTGCCAGAAAAAAAATAAATCCCCCTAACAATGTTGCATAGCAGCCCTTTCATATAATACGAGTAACCGAGTATTTAGATTTTAAATATTAGAGTGAAAGCTTGAATAGCACCAGACTAGTACAGACAGTCTGGTGCATTTACCTTTGTTATAACCACCACGGCCACCGCCACTGCTAAAACACAGAAGCAGATATACCAATGAGTTGACTCATGGACAGACTGATCGATCGATCGATGCATGGCGAATCAAATGCTGCTCGCCACCTCTCTTCTTGATGTACCTACTGTCTAAATGTCTGTGGTCACTATATTACTTAATACTAAAGGTAAGTCACGTATATCGTCATGTTAGTCTGTTACGTCCAGCATGCAAAAATTATGCGCTTTCTCTGCATAGCTATTATTGATAACTTTGCGAGAAATAAATTGGTCAAGACAATCCTGTATAAAAGATAATCCTGTATAAAAGATTATCCTATTCACGTCGAATGTACACAAATCTTCTATCTGAGAACTTATTGACAAGAAATCACTATTAATTAATATTTCAAGCATATATATATATATATACATATATATAATAAAACCAGTAGAGTAAAAATTGGAATAAAAAATTATCAATCATATTCGATGAATTATGATGTTAGTATAACACTAATATCCTATTGCGAAAATAGACAAAATGTATTAAAGAAACATCAATATATTTAATGAAACTTCAACTTGTATAATAATACTATGTCTTAATTAACATTATATACTTATAAAAAACTTTAAACGTCTTTTAATTGTCTAGTCGATTTCAATAACCCTAAATAGTACTATTCAGACAACAGTGGCCCCAGTGGCAGTATAAACCGCTTTACAGGTATAATTAATACAAAACCATTATATATAACACATCATATTACCACTTATTGTAATAGTATAGAATCAATATTACCAGACATTATAACCATTTTACGTCATTTGTCACATACAACCTGTTTTTACCTTTACCAGTTATATCTGTGTTAAACCTGTAGGCACACTTCAAACATATTAACGCCCAATGGGCATAAAACCATTTGCAAAGAGACAACAAGTTTTCATTACTGTCATAAGAATTGCATTTCATACCTTGATTACTTCAATGAATATATTTACCTCTTCACTGATTAATATTGTTGATATATGATTAAAATTCTTATTGACCTTATAAGTTCTTTTCGCTTTATTATATTTTTATATATAAATAATACGAAAAATAAACTTACTTGTAACTACCGCCAGAGCGGTCATTGTATCCCCCACGATCTCCATATCTACTGCTACCACCTCCTCCTTGACCTAAATATATATATATTATTTATATAATAATATATAATAATAATATGTTTTAAGGATTTATTTAAAATTTTATACCTCCACCATAACCTCCACCAGAATTATTACGATTGTAGCCACTTCCTCCACCTCCACCTCCATGCCCATAATTTCCACCATAATTGCTACTGCCACTATTTCCAGAACCGCCTCCACTGCCATAACTATTTTGGTTGTAACTATTTTGACCTTGTGATTGATTGTAGTCTGGACCACCGCTGGAATTGTAACTGTTGTAACTGCCATAATTGCTTCCACTATTTGGTGGTGGTTGACTATATTGATTGTAGCCACCACCACCGCTAGAAGGTGGTGGATACGAAGTATCCTGACCACCAGAAGGTGGTGGCTGACTGTACTGATTGTACCCCTGTTGTTGATAATTTGAGTATTCTAAAACATATATAAAAAATATAAAATATTATATAGAATTTAATATAAAATTCTAATTATTTCATAAAAAAAAAATATAAGTAATATTATATTATTACATTGAAATATTACAAAAATTCAATAATGATATAAAATTCATTAAATGTAAAAATATTAAATTATACAAAATGGAGTAAAAAAAGGAGGACGAGACGCTTGGGATGCCGATCAATAAGTTTATGCAAAGATGTACGAAAGTAAAGAA